TCTGTCAAATAAATCTTTTAAAAAATAAATAAATAAAAATTAAAAAAATGGGCAAAGGATCTGAATAGACATTTCTCTAGAGAAGACATACAATGGCTAATAAATACAAGAAAGGATGCCAAGCATCATTAGCCACCAGAAAAATGTAAATCAAAACGAGATACCCTACTTCATACCCACTAGGATGAGTAGAATCCAAAGGATGAACAGTAACAAGTATTTCGAGGACGTGGGGAAACTGGAAACCAACACTAGCGGGGATGATAAAATGATGCTACCATTTTAGAAAATAGTTTGGAAAATTTGGGAAAAAATATTCTGGAAAATAATCTGGTACTTTTGTCTCAAAAGATTTAACATAAAGTTGACACAGGCCTAGCAGTTCCACTCTGAAGTACCTACCCAGGAGAAATGAGTACGTCCACACAAACCCTTGCACGTGAGTGCAACCAAAAGCAGAGCAACCCACTGCAACCCCCCCAACACACACGCAGAAAGGTGGATAGGACATATCCGGTGTAGAAAATGCAGAGAAGAGTCTTGGACAGTTCCGGGTGGGCCGGGGTGGCCAGGACCCAGCTGAGTAAGGAGAGAAAGGGCGACCCGGAAGACAGAAGCTGCAGGGACAAGGACATTCTGACCGGTGCCCGCCGCCACAGGAGCCCGTGACGGGCGAGTCCTGGGGAGGAGTCTGGATGCGGGCCTGAGAAGCCTGTTCTTCTATCCAACGGCAGGAGACACAGTTGGTTTCCGAGCAGGAAATGATGTCCCCTAAGCCTTGTGACAGCAGAGCAAGTAAACGTGAGCCTCGGTCCTCAGTCTGCCTCACAGCCACTCACCTGAAATAGCAGCTTCAGAGAGCACTTTGAGGACCTCGTTTTCCATTTCACAGCTGTTACACAGCTCCTCCCAAGTCCCATGAAGTCCTTTCTTTCGAGCGAGTTCTGTTAGTTCCTTTTGATTTGGCACAACAAACCCAATGACATAAGAATGATAACTGAAATACATAAAGGACAAGCGGCTAAGGGTCTAAATGGCACAGCGTGGGAGTGGGTGTCAGCGAGACGCCGACGCCGTCAATTCATGACTGCTTGAAAGAACATACGTGACGCGCATCTGGTACAGAGCACTTACCTCACGGAACAGCCACTTCTACCGTATGATTCATAGTATGTTCAACGCTCAACAGAGTCCACTGCTAAATAAACCTTCATCTGATATTTAATGGCAAATTTCAACCAGGTGTTAACTGTTACGAATACTTCCATGTATACATTTTTTAAAAGAAAATTACAAATATCAGAAAATTCAACTTTGGAAAAGAATCAGTAATTCACATTAACAGGTTAAACAAAAATAAAAATTCATGTAAATAGAAATTGTATCTGGGTGGCTCAGTCGGTGAAGCATCTGACTCTTGATTTCCGCTCAGGTGATGATCTCAGCGTTGTGAGATCGAACCCCGTGTCAGGCTCCACACTCAGTGCTGAGTCTCCCTGGGATTCTCGCTCTCCCTCTGCTCCCCCTGCCCTTGCTCATGCACTCTGTTGCTCTCGAATGAATAAATAAAACCTTTTAAAAATATATTTGAAAATTTAAAAAAAAAGAAATTGTACCTAAAGAAAACTGGCAGCAAATCAAAGTAATGTGGCTGCATTTATTTTCTTCTTTTGTTATCACGAGAACTGTGAATGAAAGAGCTTTAGGTACGCCTGCCAGTGGCAGTAAGAAATAGCCAACAGCACTAGGAAGAGAAGGGCAGTCTGGTTAAGATCACACAAGTAAAAGCCAGAACTGTAGCAGCACTAAAGAAAATATCTCATAGCTAATTAAAGGGCTGAATGATTTATGATTCAATGTAGTAAATCTTTAAAGTCTATTTCTAAACTGATTCTTCTGATACCAGATTTTAAATCTCACAATAACTATTTTATGTCAACTGCTGCAGTAAGGTTCCTAGGCTGGCCACCAAGTATCTGATCGTTAACACTGGAGAATAATTAATACATATAAAACTCTTAGGGGAAAATGTCATCAGAGTGCCAATCTAAATTTCCAACACATTTCCCAGGAATACATTTCTGGGATTTTTAACTTTAAACTCTCCTTCCCTCCTTCCCAGCTGCCTCTATATAATTACGAACTAGAGATACTAGGAGTTCAGCCACAGCTTAACATAGCTTAAGGCAGAGCTCCCAGCCCTGGCCAGGGTCTGAAGTAGGCTCGAGTCTAGAGCGGGGTAGCTAAGTGCTGAGCAGGGTTCAGCTTGATGACTCCCATCCTCAACTTCCTTCTTTACTCCCCTTTGCTCTGGACTGGTTCTGGGATGCTTCCCTGTGCAGCCGGGCGGGTCACTGGGGGTACCAAGGCAGCAGGAGGGAGGACTTGACTTTCTTCCCCTCCCTACCACACAGGACACCGCAGTGAGATGTAAAGCAGAAAACAGGGACACAGAGGAGGACGAGGAGGGGAGGCATCACAAGGACAGAATCAGTTACTGGTTTTTCCTGAGAAGAGGACTCTCCCAGAGACAACGGATAAGAAGGAAGAAGAGTTCTTAGTATAGTTTTACAAAGAAGATTCATCTAGGAAGGAAATGCCAAAACCACACAAAATGTTTGTTTGAAGTAAAAGTAACAGAATTCTACTTTCTTACCTGTTTGCATATGCGCAAATGTTATCTATAAGGGAGAGGTTCTTCAGAGCTGCCTCTACTTTCCCAAGAGAAACATATTCTCCCGCCTGCAGTTTCACAAGGTCCTTCTTACGATCTGTGCAGAACAAAGGCCGGGAGGGGCCACATGGGAGCATAGAAATACCTTGAATACACATGAATATTGCCCATTCCCTAAGTAATTTGCTATCAGTTAAGTCTATTATTAATAGTTACACCCAAACTAAAAGTACACAGTATATTAGGCCCTAATTTTTGTACCATTAAATAAATTCTTTCAAAAAAAGAAAATCAGCTTCTAGTCAAGAGCCCCCACCATCAGGGCTTCGGGCATGTTCCGCTGAACAAGTGTGTTCCTGCAACCCATTAACACCAGGAAGCTGAAGAGTTCTCAGGGACACGTGAAAGCTCACATTCTATCTGGAGAGAAGCACATCCCCTCCATACAGAACAGTAAGGGTAAAGGTCAAGCCTGTCCAACCTGCTGATCTGGAAAGAATTCCTGTAAGTGAGGCCTGGACTGAGTCTTGAGGGAAGACGGGCGCTGACCAAGTGCAGCAGCCGTGGAAAACGACAGACAGGTCCGCTTGAATCACCGCAGCATGGTGTGGGAGGGAACGGCCGGAGGCGGAGAGGTGGGGTTGGGCTACAGGACAGAGGCGCAAGGAACCAAGCCCTTAGCTGCCACTAGAGTTTTCTAGCAGCAAAGGGGCCCAGTGAGATCAGTGCTGAGGGCTCACATGGCCTTTGAGTGTGTGTGTTTAAGGGGTACAAGTATGTCCCAGGGAGGAATTTCTTGCAATAGGGTGACGGAAGGTGCAGGCCTGACCTACGGTCATGGTGGGGCACAGAGAAAGAAGAGAGTATCTTGAGGCATGTTTCACATGATAAATCAGTAGAAAATGGGTAAGACATGGGGAGTGCACTAAACAATCTCATCTCCCCCAGGTTTCTAGGTAGCATGACTAGGACAGAAATTCTATTAACTGAGAAAAAAAATTTAAGAGGGAAGGCAGGGAGCTATTTTTTGCCCCCTGGGTCCTAGTACTCCAACTGCCAGGCTTCCTTATTCTCACAGGCAAGGCCAGGACATGGTTCCAACAGGAGAGAGCCTGTCCAATAACCTCTAGATAGCAAAGAGCACACAAAAATAAATATTCCCTACTGAGAACTGGATTCTTTCAGGGTTATCTAATAATTAAAAATACCACTCCTGTTGAACAGATTTTGAGATCTCCTAAAATGTCAGGCCTTAAAACTTCTTCACAGTTTATTATAAAATTTTATATTCCAGGGATGATACAACAGACCCTATCAACACTGCAGAGAGATACATTCTTATATTATTAAACAGTTTCCCTAAATATACAGTTATCTCTTTTGTAAAACTATTTCAGAAACATTCACTGTCAGAAAACATATGTATATGTATTAGTTGGCTCACCGATAATCTTTAAACAACCATCGGGGTCAAACTCCCCAATATCTCCAGTACAGAGCCACCTCTGTCCATTTTCATCTTCAAAGAAATCAGCTGTCGTTTTTGCTTCATTTTTGTAGTATCCTATTGTCACGTTTTGGCCACCAATAAGAACTTCACCCCTCGGGTGTGGTTTATCGGTATTAAAGTATCCACCTAATAAACACAAAATAATTAACAGTTAATTCAAAATTTTTATCCCTATATACAGTTGTGTGAAAATGTGAAACTATTAGTTTCTAAACAGGGACATCTGATTTTAATCCAATTAGTTTCCCAAAGGAAATGAGGCAGACAGTATGAATGAACAAAAACTCATTAATGTAAAACTAGGTGCAAAATTTCAGTTGCTTACCCATAAGCACTGATGCTTTTAAACTACTACTCCAAGCAAAAATTACACTAAAAAATCCAACATCTGTGGTATAAAATAATCATGTGTACTACATAGGTAAACTCCTTTAAGGATTCTGTAGAGATTCCTATATATCTGATAAAAGTATTAAATCATGTAATTCAATAAAACACATCTCCAAAATCAAATTACACAATGTTTAGAAGATTTATGACTGGCAGATAAGTTCAGAATGACTCCAAGTTTAAATCTGTGAAACATTTTCACTAATTATGCTAAAAGGTAAATGAAAAATGGCAGCGAACCCTCAGAATCTTTACTCTGTATAAAAGAAAAATTTAGCCAACCAATCACTGATAATGTATACACAGAAAGAATCAAAATTTTTAAAAAGTGATTAGTATTTAAATGGCACAACAGATTTGTATGAAATTATAGTAAAAATTTCCTTCTGATGATTCTAGATTGAAGCCGTCAGGGAAAAGAAAGAAAAAAAGAAAAATCCTCAGTTTCATATATTATATTTTATGATTTTGCTGCTAACAAAATAAACTTATGATCATTCCTAATTTACTGACATCATTCATTTAGGAGATTTCTCAAGTTTTTGCCGTAATTCTTACTTGCATTCATGTAATAAAATAAGCAAAATAAAAACAATTTTAATTCTTCAGAATCATTCTTGAAATAAGCAAAATAAATGCATTCGTATAGCTCTAGATAAAATAGTTCTATTAGACAAAAAAAGCACTTGTGGGTGATTTTATATTCTAAAGTAAGAAAATGAAGCACAATTCTAATTTCAAGGTTTAATATTATACAAATTAATGGTCTGTGGTTAAAATAGGTTATTACCTTCCTCCCAGTTCTTTAATTTGATTTCACAGCAAACTAATGGTGCTCCCACTCTGCCAGTATTGTAGTCCCATACTAAGATGCAAATGAAAAAAAGCATTTGATTACAGTGGTGAATAAACAGCTTGATTTTTCTAAATTACCAAAAATGATGATTTATCCCAAAGCTTTGACATCCCCAGAGAATCTCTAAAAGCTGGAGTCACAAACTGGGGAACCACAAGCTGTGTGGCCCACACAGAGTTCTGTTTTTTTATTCTGAATTGGTTACTGACATTTAAAAATCAAGACAATTTCCCCAGAAGTGTGGCATCTCCAGGACCAACAGGGCTGGCATTTCCAGCACAGCAACAACTGTAGCCCCCATTAGATGGGGCGTGCCTGCTCCAGCTCCCCCCGATTCCTGCCTTACACCCACCGCGGATCTTCGTACCTCAAGGCTCACTTCACTCACTGAAGTAGCTGCCTGGCTCATGTGTCTGGAGCCCCTACCTTAAAGGATGATGGATCACAATGGCTTCCCCCCATTCCACTTCCTTATTAGACCGGACGGCTCTGCAGTATAAATAGCCTCTCCAATCTTCTCCCGTCTATCACTATTACAAAGTGAGACCTCTAAAGCCTCCCCGACATCAGCTGATGCTATCACCCTATTTAAACTCATACACAGGAGTTCATTAGACCAGGCTGGAGATTAACTTTCAAGGATCTGGGAAAAGCACACACCACTATTGTGAATTACTACTGCATTATGTTTCCTCTTCAAAGATCATTCAAGTATCAGAAAAGGCTGATATTTAAAATTCACAGAATGTTTTGTTTACAACATAAGCTGTAACTGATGAATCACATTCAATGCAAATCTTAAAAACAGAAGCTATAAGGATCATCAGAAGAAAGGAAACATAGATGTACATATTTAAGATTGCTTTTTTATTTCCTGCAAAACAAGACTTAGAAGTAGCTTCCAAAATATAGAAAACTGGAAACAGGAAAATACAGAAGTAATGTAAGATAAACCTGACATAAGAATGGTACACAGCAGGGGCGCCTCGGTGGCTCAGTTGGTTAGGCGACTGCCTTCGGCTCAGGTCATGATCCTGGAGTCCCGGGATCGAGTCCCGCATCGGGCTCCCTGCTGTCAGCGGGGAGTCTGTTTCTCCCTCTGACCCTCCCCCCTCTCATGTACTCGCTCTCTCTCATTCTCTCTCTCTCAAATAAATAAATAAAATCTTTAAAAAAAAAAAAAAGAATGGTACACAGCAACACTGAAGGTAAATAGGGGAAAATGATCAGTTAAAAGGTTTAGTACCTGTCAGTATCTAGAAAATACAAAGTAGCTTTTCCTAGTACTGAGAAGCAAAATAACTTTCCTCCATAAAAGGGACACATGAGGCACTTTGGGATTCATCCAGGAACCACTTGGGTAGTGGATCACCTCCTCAATCATGTCACCATGATAAACGCTAGAAATTACATTCTATAAAACTGAATCTGGTTTCTCTCTCATTACACAGACCACCCCCATAAACCACTTCCAAGTTTGAGCTTTAATACACATACCTAAACAACTGTACAAAACATGTTAATGTTTTTCACAAAAAGACATTTAATAACTGATAAAAGAAAATAAATGTATATAATACAGCCAATGCTTGTTACTAAAACTTCTTTTCCAGACGCTAAGTAGCTTTTAATATGATGTATCATAATCTAACATGAAAGACTCCTTTAATTGACTATTAGATGTACCCAATACTTAAAAACTTTATCAATAATCACAGTACTTAGAATCTACCATTATTCTGCTACACAAATACCTTAACCACTTTTATCCTTCGTACTGCAGAAAACAACCCATGACCAAAGAATACAGGGAGGCACACCCCAGGCTCTGTTGGACACACCACCCTGTGGAGAGCACCAACCTTCTGTAATTGTTCCTGCACCACAAGATTCAGTCAGTCCGTATCCCTGACCGACGGGGCAGCAGAAGCAGATGTTCATGAATCGCTGTGTGGTTGCAGAAAGCGGAGCGCCTCCACACAACAGAAGCCGGATACTTCCACCGAGCAAGCCTCGAACTTTTCGGAAAATAAACCTAAAAAAGAGAGAGAGAGAGAATCAGAGGATTTGAAGCTGAATGGGATTTTCCAGATCGTTCAGACTAATCTCCCAATTTTGATACGTGAGATTTTGAGAGTCACGCGTGCCCAAAGCCACACAACCAGTTCAAGAGATTCTCTCACTCACTATTTAAATCTTAATTTTTTATAGTTCGACCAAGTAAAGAACGTATGATTTTCTCTTAAGAACTTTTCAAGTTAATATCTGAAATCAAAACTGTCAGGTTTAAAATTTTGTATAGTAATGGCAAACCCATGTTTATGGCCACAGAGCAATTAGTTTTATATTATGTAATACACATATTAATACTGAATAATCCCATTGTATCTTTATAAAATTTAGCATTAAAAGCAAATTTTTTTTTTTTTTGCTTTTGTTTACTTCATTAGAAATATGCACATACTTGGGGCACCTGGGTGGCTCAGTCAGTTAAGCATCTGAATCTTGGTTTCGGCTCAGGTCATGATCTCAGAGTCGTGGGGTCGTGGAATCGGCCCTGCGTCGGGGTCCATGCTCAATGTGGAGTCTGCTTAAGATTCTCATTCTCCCTCCCACTCTACCCCTACCCCTGCATGCATACACACACTCTCTCTCTCAAAGTGTTTTTTAAAAAAGAAATGTGTACATATTTGTACAATCTCTTTTTAAAATAAGGCAGAAAAAATATAAAGTTTCAAATAATGTGGAGCATCTGGAAACTCTATTAATATTCCCATAAAACAAATTAAATGCCATACATTGTTTTCTAATTTCTAAATTATAATTAAATCTACTTACCCAGCACTACAAAAACAAAAAGTATCAGGTCTGTGGTAAAACCTATCATTTAACACTTTAAACACTCATATTTAGTTGCCATTTTATATTCATATTGAAATAAATTTAAAAGCAAAGAAAAATTATTTCTAAAAATAACTAAAATCACATACGTGTCCACAGAAAATGAAAGCAAACTATTAAATACAGTAAAACTGTAAGTGAAATGTTTTTTCAAATAACACTGCAATCTTTTTTAATTGCTCATACTCTTATGCAAGATGGATTTTTAGAGTCCCTTTGACTTTTTAAAACCAATTCATTTCTTGTAACTATCTCAATTACCTGGGCTAGTGATATGAACAAAATGACTAAGTCACCAAAGAAGAGGGGGGAGTCATCTGACCTGTCACACAGTGGAGTGCCACGGCCTTTGGAAATCTGTTCCATTTTGTAATTATAGGCCAGAATAAACAGATTGCGTTGGAAACTACTCATTTCGTTCACTTTATTCATAACGTTTTTGTAGATTCGATCCATGATTTCCTAGATATATAAAAATGAGTTAATACCGTCAATAATGCTATCAGCTGCCTTCCATATTATATCTGAACACCAGATAAATATTTCTATCAGTGTTGAGGCATTTTAGAAGATATAGTCTATCAGGAATAAACTTTTAAAATAGAGCCACAGCTAGTTTAAAAATGAGGTTTCTGTAAAAATAATTTTTCGTAACACAAATATACCTAGATGCTCATGAGTGGGGGGGAAAAGAAAGAAAAAAAATAAAAGCCTTAGGGCAGTAACAGAATCAGTATTGATTCTTTACATGGCTTGCTTGTCTTATTTATTTTGGAAAAACTAAGCTCACTACATAAATAACAACTGTATGAAATGGTTTTTAAAATTCTCATAACCTTATCTTATAAAAATACAGAGAGTCACATTCTTTGCTCACAAAAGGACCAAAGGGTTATTCTGGTTGGTTGGTTGTCTTTTAATGCTGCACTCAGGAAATTTTCCTGCTCTGCACTACATTTAGCTTGCTAGGACCATCACTATGAAGTATATATACTTCAATGACTTGAAATGGTTTTCCCTTTACAAGTTTAAATTGTATTTCATTTTACATGAACTGAAGATTACATGAACTAAAAAGTAAAATATTACACTACAGAAACTATGCACCTACAGAAACTACAAAGTAACTATGTAACTCTGCTTGGATGGGGTTACTCAGGGATCTGGTAATGATTCCCAACACTTTCAAACAATATCAGAAGCCACATAAAACTCACACTAAGGAGACAGAAAATCGTTACTCTGCCATTTCCACTCAATTCCCAGGTCCCTGCCCATGCCTGGTACATTAGGATACATAGTGTTTCTCAGGTAATTCAAAGGTGCACCACTTCTCTGTCACTTTTTTTGGCGACTAGGCCAGACTGTTCCTGGGGACTCAGGAGGTAATTAATTACGCAATTTGCTCAGAGGAGAAGGAAGTGCTATCAAACCTTCCCCCCATCTCCTGCTGGGCTTCAGGTTTCTACTAATAGCAAACATATCATGAAAAGGATCTGAATAAGAAGCGACTTTAGGGAAAGGATGTAATATTATCACAGGGAAACTGAAACTGAGTATTTAGTAAATTTAAAAAATGAATAAATAAATAAAGTTAAAAAAAGGAAGACTGAATCAGTCCCGCAGAGCATAAGGCAATATAATCAGTAAGGAACAAATCCTACATAAACTACCCTGCCAACAGTTAACTCTTCCACTAGCGTTCAGGCTCTGTGGCCGGTGACCCTTCTCTAGTATGCAACATTAACTAACGGTCGGTTCTTACCGGAACAGCTGCCATCAATGTTGGTTTCAACATGGTTGTATCCCCTTTGCTTCCTTTTTTTATTTTTGAAGACTAGAGAGAGAAAAGGTGATCTGTATAAACTGATCCTTATTTTAGAAATCCGGTGAAATTCTTAGACCAAAAAGTGTATTATAAATTCATCATTTTAATTTACTTATTGTAAAAACTTAAAAACTTAAAAGTAATTATTTTTAAATGATTAACTGCCACCTTACATTGTCATGCTGATACAGAAAAATGTGTTAAAAAATTACAATTTTTTAGTATCTGAAGTCACAAGGCATCTAACTTACCTGATCTGCTAAAGTCTGTGGTGAAGAGTAGCCAATGCGGCATCCGTGAGAAAGACAAACAAGCTCAGCACTTAATTCTAAAACATGGGCCAGAGGCAGATAGCCAATGTAAACATCTTCCTCTCTAAAAGAAAAGGAGATAGAAAAGCATCTGTCAGGTGTCATCTCTGCTGGAAGAGACTGCAAAGCGAGTCCGCCCACATGGGGAGAAAGGGAGACAGACACAGAGAGAGAGCGCACACACGCATGCCTGTGCGCACGCGTGGGGGGGAGGGAGGGGGAGGCAGACAGACTCTAGGGAGTGTGGGGGGGGGAGGGTAGTAAGAAGGCTACAGCTCAACCTAAAGCCCAGAGGCTGTCTCCAGTGCTACATGAAGGCACTCACAGATTACGAGTGCTACAGGAGCAATGTGCTAAGAAGAAACAGGGGCTGAGGGGCCAAAACAAGAAGGGGTCTTCTGTAGGACAGCAGAAATCATCCAAAGAGGAATGGTCTTTAAAGCTCGTGGGCTCCCAAACGGAAAAGTTCCGATTGAATCCACAACTGCTGGCCAGGAATTTTACAAAAAAGATTCCTGTTTTGAAAGTTACTTAGAAATAATAAATTATACTGTACGTAAGAAAATGTGTACGTATGTGTGTGTATGTATTTCAAGAACTGCCCCCACCCCCAAAAAATATGAAGGGCAAAGACTAACCCAGGAAACTACTGCTCTTAATTTTTTCTGAAAAGTTATCCATTCGTTCATAAGAGAAATCTCTCTCTCCATCCCTAAATTCAGTTCCATAGTAACCTGTGTGTGAGTGTAATTTCTGTGCATAAGGGCATCAAAAATACCCAAGCACTACCACGGCCCCTCATCAGTCATCAAGTACTGACTCCTCTACCACCCTCCCGGTCCCATCTGGCTTCCCCCGCCGGTCAGTCTCTTCCCCGCAGTATGCCCACCCTGGCCCTGTGGCTGCTGGAACTGGTCTTAAAAAGAAAAATCAGAGACTGAATAAAGCTCAATAAATATTGGAACAGATGAAGCTATTTGTTCACCTGAATTTTAACATGTTTAGGTATAAAAAGGACTATAGCAGCAATACTATCAACTGATTAAATTAAGGGATTTAAGTCAGATAAAATTTACACTTTTCAAGTAAAAGGTAAATATTAACAATGATATATATGAAACTGTATTTTAAACCTTACAACTAAAACTATTTAATTAATTTTAAAGTTCCTCTTATTTTTTTGAAGGAACTGCCTACTGTAAACAGACTCTGAAAGACTAATTTAGCCACATACCACTAAATGGCACAAACAACGTTAACGTAACAACCAGCATCAACAAGGGACTACTTCATATGCATTCACCATGTGACATACCCCAGTCCTGGAATCCGTTCCGCCATCCCAGTTATACCAGCAATAATGTTACTGTGGGAGATCATGACTCCCTTCGGAAGTCCTGTGGATCCACTTGTATACATGATTACTGCAATATCTAAGGGCCCTGGTTTGCTAAGAGGTTTGTTTTCTGCATTGGAGAAAAAAAACACACACACACACACACACCATTTCTGAGAAATGTAGTCATATCACCCATTTTTTTCATAATCATGTTTGATAACTCAATTCAACGACTGTGAATTGTATTCATTCAGAGGTCAACAAAACAGATCACGTCCCCGCACATACAGGACACATGTTCTACTGAGATCAACAAGCCATGAATCTATAATGTAATACGAGCTATGAAGAAAAATAAAGACAAGGTGAGATGATAGTAGAAGGTATTTAGATGGAAAAGTCAAGAAATGCTTTTCTGGCACGTTGGTATTTTAGTAAAGACCTGGATACAGTGCAGAAGAGAGCCATTGAAACCCTGGAACTGGGAGAAGATTGTCTCAAGTAAAAAATAAGCGGGAGCAAAGGCCCTGACGCAGCAGCCAGGACCGTATCATGCAAGGTCTTGGAGGCCATGCTAAGGACTTTGGATTGCACCTGGAGTAGAAATTTGAACAGGGGCTTGTTATCACCAGTGATGAGGGTCACTTTGGCTGCTACGTGGCTGCCTAACTTAGGGAAGCAAGGCAGTAGGGAGACAAAAGGCTATTCCAGAAATTCCACTGTGAAATAGGGTGGTTGGGCTAGGGTACCTAGACACTTGCTAAAAACTGTTCTCTGCCTCACAGTGGTGAAGTGACCTGGCTACAGTCCGAACCCCGGATTCAAAGACAGTGTCCTCCAGTTGCACAAACCTAAGGGCCACAGCCCACATCCTGGAGGGGACACGGCAGGAAAGCAAAGAGAAGTGGGTCACGGATGGCACCCCCTGAATTAATCCTGGCCCTCCCCTAAGTGTGGACTTCTTAAATGTGGGGGAAACAATTTTAAACATGTTGCTGACTGAACCCTTCCTTTCCTACATGAGGAGATATATTCCATGACAACGGTCTTCATTCCAGTCCTTACTTCCTAGCCTTCCGTTCACTCCTCCATCCCAGGGCACCATTCTCCACCACCTCCTAGAAACTGCTCTGAGGTGGGCCTCCTGCAATGCCTATGGCACCGACTCCTGCAGGGCACCTGCTCTTGCTGCCGACCCCTGCCTCCGGGAGAGGCCCCTTTCACACGGCCTCCGTGAAGCACACACTGCGTGCCTTCCTCCTGCCTCTGACCCACCCTCAGTTGCTTCTTTGGAAGCACCGCTTTCCATGGGTGACCTCACCTCCTTCCACAGCTATACATAACATCAAACTTCTAGCTTCTAACTCCAAACTTAACTCCAGAGTATATGCCACTCCCCACTAAATATCCACATCTGAATGTCGCACTAGCACTTAAAATTCCGTATGCCCAACATTAATGTCAGCAGAACCCCATTCCCATTCCTGAGCTGAGTGCTTACATCTAGTTAATCACTGAGTTTCCAACTACAAAGGAAATACAGTCCCAGCACCCTAGCAGCTTTCGGGATATTCATCAACACCCGTATACTTTCGAACATTTCCTGACACTTATTTGAGAGTAGGAGTTTTTGGCATCACCATGCCAAAGTGTTCAGGTGGGGGATAAAAAGATGTTCCCTCAGGAAAAAACAGAGTTGGGGCAGGGAGTGAAAAAGGGGATCTAGCTTTAGCCACTCCAGCTATCTGTCTGTACTTATAGATAATCCACACAGGACTAGTTTAATGGCATTATTTAGAAAACTAACTTTAAGCCACTGAAAACTATAAAACAGAAACAGGAAACCTGTATAATGTAAAAGGTATTTGAATAACTACTCCTTTTATTTAGAACAATAAATTAATGTGTGTATTCTCCCTTAAACCCTACTTTAAAAGAGTAGAGGAAAAGTATAGAGTGACCTTACTTCCCAAAGTGATGGTCTAGAACATGATTTGTCCCTGATCTGACTTCAGGGTCTGGAACCACTGCGGAGAACACGGTCACTGCAGAACGACCCTAAGGAACTGGGAAGGTGCGCCGTACCTCTGCTGGCCTTGGCTCCCAGAGCCTGCACTGCAGCCATCGTGTGCACGATGACGCCCTTGGGGAACTCGGACCACGTTGGTGGCTTACCGTCCACAGTGATGATGTGCCGCAGGCGCGGGACTAACGAAACTATATCCTGGAAAAACACAAGCATTCATTACGTTCTTCGTCGCTGTTTCAAAACAGCTTAGCAAACAGTCCCGGACACAAGAAAAGCAGTTTACCATAATCCATGAATTATTAATTTCTTGCCTCCAAAAAAACGGTGAGGGGGTGGGCACTGGTATGAATACTACTCCTTTCAGATGGAGAAATACGGCCTGAAATTTAAATTGCTATTTTATAGCACTAGATTTACTGTGTGTGCCCATTCTTTGGGTAAAATCCTAATCAGCAATGTCACTTCCTCACAAAATAGGCATATAAACACAGGCTGCCTGAACTACAGAATAGCCACAAGTCCTATATGTTTTTAAGAGGCTCATAAAGATATGGGGGGAGGGGGAGGGAACTCACTTATAAATTTGGGTATAAAAAAACCCAGCAGACATTACTGGTTTCACTGGGAGTCGTCTAGGGACTTTCAAAACCTTTCTCCAACAGTTTATCATAAAGTCTCTTTTTTCCCTTTAAAAAATTCTAGAAACTCATAATGACTCAATGCTTCAGAAATAATATAAAGGAATTACTATTTCAGAAACCCTTGTAATTTATAAATTTACTGAAAATAGACTAGAAAACAAATGAACACAATAAAGAAAAAAGGTAATCCCTTTACCTTAGACACGGGCATACCATGTTAATGATCTGTAACTCTCTGCGCTACTTATTACACAAATATGTATGAAATCTACTTTTTCTTTTCTAAAGGAAAGGAAGAACGTATGATATTCCTAAAAGTTTACAAAGATATTCAGGATTTTAAAGATCGTAAAAGTATCAATACTAGAGCTCATAACACTGATAGTTCTGGAAGTTCTGGACAGTTATAAAAATAACCACAGTCCTCACCTTCAACTTTGTTTGCAAGAGTTCTTTACTAGTAATGATGTTGGTCACCTCTGTTTCATTCAATCCATGAACAATAGCTGGACCTCCTAGAGTAGCATACAACGTAACAACTACAGAGAAAAGAAGGGCAAGTCAAATATTCCACATTTCATGGAAGTACTAAATGTAACTAAAGTCTCTGAAAGTGGTCATGAATCCTAATGGTATAAAGAACCCTAAATCGTCAGATCCATAGTTTATTATGTAACTGTTCTATGATTATCTAAATTATTTTAATATACTAATAAACATTATGCCCACTCACGCACCCGTTCCTAATTTCCCCAAAGATTTCTAATATTTTAAAACGAAATTTTTAAGTTTTATTTCACCTTCAGATATTACTCTGGGATGCCACAATGGAAGGAATTATTTCTGACTCCTAAAATATCAAAGCCTTAGTTGTTAAATACTTGGTACTAAAATATGAAAAAGAGTATGTACCAGTAAGATAATGCACTGAGTATCAGGTTGAAGGTATCATATATGTTAAGAAAACAACATGAATAAGTGGCAGTACTGCTTTTTCTAGTAGAAAACTCAAGAAAAACATTCTTAGCCATGTTGAAATTTAATAATCATCATCTTGTGGACTTTTATTTGCTTGCTGCCTAACTCACAGAAGTCAGACTTAAAGTGACTTTAAGAGATAATTATTTCGAAGCTTCCCAAAAGAAGCAAACTATAAGCCCACACCCATGAAAACAAAAAGATATGACGGTTTTAAAAACCAGTGGAGCATTTACAGCTCCATCTGAAAGGTAAGAGAATGTCCATACTTAACATCCCATTTTGGCACCAAGATCTATGAACTAAGCTTCCAGAACTACCTCACAGTCTGGGGCATCCAGATTGCCACTTAAATAACAATATAAATATTCCCTGTCCTTTCACCTGGCTCGTGGCTCCGAGTAGTGCAGTTTTAGATGTCAACTGCTGCTACCAACAGAAGTGGGGACGAAGTGACACTAACTTCACAAGAAGATTCCTGAGAGAACCAGCAGCAGAGTCCGCGAGGCCCCAAGGCCCCTATTAACAGGTTCCAGTCCCCTTACTACACTGACTACACAATTTGTTCCAAAGCAGACCTCTAACTCGAAGTTGTAACAGAGCGGTCCCCTGATTAGATGCAAGGTAGCAATTAACTTCAGAATTTTAAAGAGTGAAATATTTATAATAAACAGCATCCTATCTCCCACACAGAAGATCAGAAGGCCCACATACGCTGAAAATTATACATAAAGCACGCCTGCGCAGCAATCATCCATTCGGCTCTGGTTTCACAGAAGATGGCGATATTGGTCTTTGGTTTCTGACCCAACATCTGTAAACCATTTCCAAAATTAAAAGCTCTAACGAAGACATCTTCATAGGAGAGCCAATTATAGTTTCCAAGAATAACCTGATAAAATAAAAAACATACAAATACCTTTTAATATAACCAAAATATTATTTTCCAGAAAGAAGCCAAGATTCCAAATTTTATGACAAACCAGTTATGTTTGCACATATGTAAGTATTTTTTCCTAACAAAAAGCCAGAAAGTGAATTTCAAGTGAAAAAAATCTATTTTGAAAATTAGCTATTTTGCGATAACTTCTATGACAAATCTTATGCTACATCTTCAATTGTAATGGGGAGTTTTTTAAAAATCTTCAGGGTTTGATAGGATCTTAAAGGTCAGCTTTTTTGTCAAAAGCTCATATACTGGTAATTCATTTATACATCATTTACTTAAACAATTTAGATGTTAGCTTAAAATTTAGCCTAGTATCAAGTACTAATGATACCAAAAATTAACTTTCCCTCTACTTATGAATTCCCAGATTTCACTATCAAATGGTAATATGATTTACAAACAGAAACTGGTTAGATCCAAGATAACAGACATATTTATGGCTGTTTAATTTGAATTCCCCCCTCCCGTACTGAACTCTAAACAAGTCTATTTACGCAACCAGGACTAGTTTTATTATTCATCAAAGCCTTTCCGTTGAAGCCTTAAATAACCACTGGCACCACTGGGCTTTCAACATTTCATTTGTGCTTACCATAAGTACAGGTAACATTAAGTCTTCATTGGTAATAATCATGTTTTTAAACTGGCTAACTTATTTTTCTTTAGGAACTTTCTCCAACTTAGATTAGACCATAAATCCCCAATTACATACAGACTGGATAAAAAGCTCCTCGCACTCCAAATACATACATATTTTCCAAACGTGGCTGTTTCACTCACATGTCTCATACACCTTAAAACTAACCACATTCATTTCCAAAAATGCATCCAACATTTCCGGGAGCTCTTGAAATAAGAGACTGGGTGAAGATAGAAATGGGGAGGGGGAAAAAAAAAAAGGATAAATACTGCCCTCTAGTGTCCTATTCCATAATGGACTTAGGGAATAAAGTCTTACTTTGATGGTTAAGGCAACTGGATTTAAAATATTTATTTAACTTCACTGGTCCCAAACTCTCACCTTGCTCTGCACCCCCATGAAATGCTCAGCACGGGGAGCTCCAATGACTTCAAAAGGAGCTCTGTGGGGGTGAGAAGACAGATGAGAACTTGGCCAAAACGTGCACGAACTGGATTACAATTAAGAATTTTACACTCCAAAGATTAGCATGAGCTACCTCTTAGATTCTAGAATCTAAATGATGAGCTTTGTTAAGTTTCAGAGAATGTATATATTCCGAAAGGTATTACTATCTACATAATCCAGATCTTTAAACCCATGTGATACAGCCACCATGTGGCAAAAGAAATCAAATCATGAGCTTAATTCAAGTGTAACTAAACTGAATTTCACTTAATTCTTTAAACCACTGAATCTCCTAGTAGTGATCTTTCCCATAAAGATTACATTTCAAGGCCCCTATCTACCCCATAATTTTGACTTTTGCTGGAAAAAATTCCCAATTCTAACTCTGTCCCCATGGTTAGCTTAAACCTGAAATTAAACTCATTTACTTATTCCCTGTCCATACTGCTGAAGAATACCCAAACTCATTCTCTATCCAGGATCACAGATCTCAATACCCAGCAATCCTATAAGGACTCCCTGGGTCTATTCATTTTCTCACCCTCTGAAATGGCTACTTCTCTCTACTCAAATATCCTCCACCCCCTCCCTCCCTCCCTCCCTTATCCCTGTCCAGGTGATAATACTGTATCATACATCACTGAGAAATTAGAAATTCAATGGAAATGCCCTTATCTTCTTAGCACCAAGTTTAATAACCTACATACATCTGTACTCATATTCTTCGCAGTTCCCCTCATGGTATTACAATGGTTGAAGTGTCCCTAACAATAGCCAAACTTACAAGGACTTTACTTCGAAGCACTTCCCAAATTTCTATCTCCAGCCACCTCTACTTGCACATCCAAGTTCAAAAACCTTACGCTGGCCTACAAAGCCCTAAGGGACCTAGCCAAGCCAGTGTCTCTGTGCTCCTATCCAACCTTCTTCTCCAGACTCACCTCCCCTAACTCATTACTTCCTGTAAATACAACTTTGTCCTTTCTGTCCTTCAAACAGGTTGCGCCAGGGCAGGAACTAGGATGAAGCAAGACAGGTGCCAAGGGCACAAGATTTAGAGAGTTACTCACTCTCAGCATTTGAATACCTTCTTCAACTTTGTACCCCAAGTGCCTCACCCAACTGGGCTCATTCCAGTTTTAGAGCCAGTGGGCACACACCCTATCCCACTGCACAGAAGGTTCATTACCCAGATCTTTGCAAAGTTGGCTCCTCTCTTGTTCAGGCCTCCACTTAGCCATAATCTACCAAGACAGGCTATCCCTGATCTCCAAGCAGCTTTATGTCTTCGTAGTAGTTATTAATCTGTTTACTTATTATTGTCTCTCTTCCTCCCATACAAATGTAAGACCCGTGAGACGAGTAACCTGTGTGTCCTGTTCATGACTGTCTCCCTAGCACCTGGCATACAGTCGGCACTCAGCAATTATTTGCTATACATGTGGAATGAACAGTGTAATTAACACAATTTCCATTCACTTTGGACCTTGAGTCTTCTGACCCCTTTCTGCTCCAGGAGCCTCATTTTTTTTAAGACTGTTTGAAGGAAAAAAAAAAAAATCCACATCCGCCTAATCATTTAACCTCTAGAGCTACTTTTCTTCTGTCTCCATTCCAGTGCACACATCCTTTGCCTACCACCTCTTAAATATTCTCACCCATGACCCATGAGACACAAGAATGTTCAATTTTCCCGACTCTGAGTCACGCAAGGGAATGACTAGTGTGGCTACGGAAATGACGACTGTGAAGCCTTTGAGCAGCTTCCTCATTTGCAGAGGTAGCGGGAGAGTTAAGACTGGCCCTATGGTCGCTTTCATGTCTCACATTTAATTGGCTGTATTGTTATTCTGGAACAGGTGTGACAAACACATGGGTAAACATCAACGTTATCACTCAGACCACCACTGCTCAGAACAGAGGAACTTAATCATTTACTTTGTTCAGGAACAGATGAAATTAGATGCTTTGATGATGCTAATGATGAGGGCCTCTTATCTCAGAAGATAAGCTATAAAAATAAAACGGAGATAACATACAGAACATTCTGTAAAATAAAAGCACACAAATACTCCACCATTCAGGACCCTGAAGAAAGAGACAATCGAGTAAAAATCAAGTTTTCAGGTAGCTGAAGTTAACCGGTGCAAGTCCAGGACTTTTCTTTTCCTTTAGCCACTCAGAAGAGAAATATTTCCAATTACACACTTCCCTGCCTTCTTCAACAAAGTACACCCGGCTTCACAGAACCTTTCTCTCTGCGAATGAAGATTATTAGAATGTACTGTGAGGGAGCCAGGGAGTGAAAATCTTCAACAGGTCTGGATGGCTGGTGGTGATCTTGAGGAGGAGGGCGGCTAAGCTTTGCCAAGTTCACTCTGTGCTAAGCACGCTGCAGCAGGAGCTTATGAGACTCTCTCGTAACTCTAGACAGAGTTACTCTTAGTACCCCTGCTGTACAAATGAGAATACTGAGGCATCGAGAGAGTCAGCAGAACGTGCTCAAAAATCACACAGCGTAAGTAAGTGACAGGACTAGAATATGAATCCGGGCAGACTCATTCTGGAATCGAAGCACTAAATCACAAGGCTCCAACCGCACCACAGAAAGGAGACGGGGTGTTACTGGGCAGGGGAGGAAGGTGGCCCGAAGGTCTGGGTATCTTTGATTCAACCATTATCAGATACCTTCTGGGGTTAATCCCTAAGCTTAGCCCCCAAAACAGGAAGGAAGGAAACTTGTAGATGCTGCTATACCACTAGCTGGCTTTTTCAATTCAAGGTTATTTTCAAATACGGAAACCACTAATGACGATACATTCATGGGAAACACGTGTGCACACCCGTTGGTAAGCGCCCAGCGGAAGCCACACCAGTCCAGGCAACTCCACTCTTACCTAAGCACGAGTCGTGCAATGTCCCCTTTTTACTCTCTATCAGGGCAGATGCTGCTTCTGCCGCAAGACAGTGGGTGTAAACAAGAAACCGGGGGGGCGAAGCCTAGTTGTTTGTAACACCCAGCTGAGGTCCCACCGTCCAGTGTGCAAACCACTGCTACCACTGCAACACAGACCAACAGAAACTCAAGTCACGCTCTTCTTGAGTAAGGCTGACAGAAAACACGTGCTTCGTTTACTATACAGGAAACCTAAAAATTTTACTTTCCCAATAAGCCTAATTTCAAATAGGAAGAATGTAATATTTTCTGTATCAGAATATAACCTATTCTATAAAGACTTCCCCCAAAAGTCTGACGAATCACAAATGCCAATTTGAAGGCAAATGTCAACAGTAGAAAGACTGAGTGAGATCCTGTAGACAGAAAAGGCTAAGGAGTTTTTTCACCTTCTAACTTTCCTATTTGAGTTCACGTATTTCCTTGTTGAATAAACAATGACTACAACAAAGCCACCATGGGCAGGACAGGAAGGAAAAGGCCACATATGCAAACACACAACAGGGGAAAACACTTTCCTTGTGTACATTGTGTTATCTGGCCACATTTAAGGAACAACTGTGAAAGCTCTAGGATTTTGTCCTAATTACACTGATAAACTGAATTAAGAAGGAATTTCATATTTACCATACTGATCTCCTTTTTACATACTTGGAAGCTACTCTGTTGCTCTAAGTACTGAATGAGGACTGAGAAATAGTGCCAGTCCCACAAAAAGCCTGTAACATGCAATTCTGGAGAAAAACCTCCTGCTAACAGAGGACTTCTGTTACATATGCTGAGATTAAAAACAAGGGAACCCAATCTTTGAATTCAAATAGCATTAGACCAAGAAACAAAAATGAATGTTTTTAAGAGGAGGCATACGAGTGGAAAACTTTAGCCCTCAAAAACTGTAGTGTTTTGGTATCTTTTATAACTACCAGATCTCTCAAAGACGAAATCAAGGATGGTATACCCTAAAAAGTAGCAACTAACTATAACAAAAACTCCGACACCATTATTTTTTTTTTAGACACCATTATGATATAATGTTTTGCAAGTTATAATCTATAGGTTAGAGAAGAGTAAACAAACATGCTTAACTACATGACTTCAATTTCAATAAATGTGCTATTAACTCTCCAGACAGACCTTAAGTTAACAGAAAAAATTCACTTAAGTGAGGCAAAACTAAGTCAGCAAAAGAAATAGAGAATATGCCTTAAAAGTCGAAGGACCGTATGATTTCCCCAAGCCACTTTTGAGACTGTAAGGAGGCACTGTTAATGTGACAGGCAAAGCAAGATAAACAAGGACAGTTTCAGGCAGAACAAGATACAACATCACTCTATATAAAGGGGATGGACACTTACAGATTTCTGTCATCTACAATTAGAACAATGTGTTTTTAATTTCTAGGAGTTACTGGCGTTAATTTGCTTGTCATCTCCTTTACGTTTGAAAGAAAATGACTCTGGAATTTGTGTGTATGAGTGCCAAAATTAATGGGCCATTAAGTTAAATAACACCTTCTCCTGCAGTCACAGGAGAAGCTCTGAGTATTTCATTCCATGGTGTGATTATTTGAACATTCCCGAGACCTGAGAGTTCCTTCGTGACTAAAAGGAAAAAGGTGGCTGTAGTCAGGATGTAGTTGGAAAAAGGAAAGAGAAAAACAACTTTGCCTACACACGTAATAAACTATAACCTGACCAAATTATCAAAGATGATTACTGATCATCTTACTGCCTCTAAAAAATTTTATCTTCAATTTTTACCTACTGGAGCTTAGAAAACGGCTTCTAAGAGAGTCATGAATCCAAGTTCAAAAACAGCATTTTCGTGCCATTTCTATACTCACTATCCTTCAAAGCGTTGCACTACCCCCATGTCTTTGTAGTCACTCATATAATTTTGCCCACCCAATTCCCAAGGCAACGATACTATAAAAACTAGAGCATTTACACTAGACACCATAGCTATTCTACGTGGGGGGGGAGAATGTGTGTGTTTGTGTACGGAGCAAGACAACCTAGGGTCTAGTCCTGGCTTTACTACTTCTAGCTGGAATGTCCTTGCCTAAGTTAACCTATCTGGTGCCTCTGGGCCGTTATCTGCAAAATAACAACGATAACACGAATTCATAGCGCTTTTTAAGTCTTAAGTAAGTTGGTACATGTAAAGAACTTAAAACAGCCTGGCTCATAAGAAATGCGAATGTAAATATCAGCAGTAATCATTATCTTCATATTACAGATAAAGAAACTGAGGCAAATTTGTTAAATTACTTTTCCAAAGTCACACAGCTAGCTAGTAGGTAGCAAAGCTGAGATCTAAACCTGTAGTCTGGATCTGGAATCCAGGTTCTTAACCACTATTTTATACCGCCTCTAAGGATGTCTTATCCCCTATTTCAAATCAACAATGGCAGCTGATATATAATGGTGAAAAGAAATTCTTAAAAACTATGCAACTGCCACTACCAAAATACCAAGACATTAAGTACCCAACCTATGATAAAATCAGAAACAGCAGGCCTCCCATCTCAAAACCCAGAACCATCTCAAGCACACACAGGTGCTTGTGGGACCACCAGGGAATACAGTTTCAGACCCAAAACTGCGCTAGACATTTTATTCCAAGCCGTGGCAGACACTCGGGCTCAGGGGGCATTCTGGCCGGTCTGTGACAATTCAGAACAAATCCTTGCAGGAGAGTACAGGAGATCAGAGCATGGTCCCTTGCCCATCCTGCTTCTCCTGCCACACCAGCCACATCCAGCGGCAGCAGGCTGTCCTTGTCCCCTGCTGCCATTTCTGAGAGAACATTTTACTCAGAACAAAGACAACGGCAATTAAAGATCACCTTACCTTTTTAAAAATTTTTCCATTTGGCTGTACTTCATCTTCCTCATTTAAAATTTCACGTGTTCCCAACAGTCTTTTGTCCTTAAATTTGTTTTTTGCATACATAAAAACTTTATCTAGTGTATCACATGCAGGGTATAACACTGAAGCCAAACCATCCAAACTGTTAATAGATCTGTATGCAGACTCCGGTTTTGAATCTACAGGCTTTGCTTTAATTTTGTTTGCTTTTTCTTGTCTTGTCTCAAACAAAAAATAATATGGAATGTACGTTAAAACAGTATAAAGTGATATTAGAAAATGTATGAAATACAAAAGAATGGGATTGATGGTCTGTTTTAGCTTCATGGTAGATGTTTTTGAAGATATGTGGTTATTCATAAGTGCTCAAAAAGTGGAATTAACGGATTTCCAGAATCTAGAAGGGGAAAAAAAGAAGATATTAGTTCAAAGTCATTTTAAAATAACTGTAAAGAAAAAATCTTATTAGATAGGCAAATGAGGATTTTTTTTTTTCCCAATCAAGCAGCAGCTGGTACTGGCCTCCAGCGATGTCCAGTCCACTCCGATATGGTCGAGTGCATCTCTTATAACTATTAGCAATGGAAATCACCACAGAGAAGTTTCTACACCATTCTGTGAACAGGTGGCTTTTCCAACCTAACCCCAAGTGCCCACAAACACTTCCCGGTGGTGAGGAGAGAGCAAGCCAGAAGACCGACATCAGAATCAAGGCCAAAAATATACCAATTTCCTGATCATCCCTCAGGGATGGCAAGTGCTTTGCAGATACACCATTCTCCTCCCTCGTGGCCGGCAGCCTGTTCAATAATCACTGCATTCTTTCCCAGTGGACTCCATTCTCTCACTCTAGGCAGCAACAAGGAACTGGTTGTTGGTAAACAACAAAGAATTCCCTTCCTATAGTGGTATTTTTCAGTTTGGCAGGTTAGGTTGTGAAGCAAGAAGGCAGTACACTCTGGCCATTTCTACTTTGCATTCATTAGATTTACTGACCATCTCCTATGTGTTAGATCCTGTTCTAAGTACAGGAACTACAACAGTGAACAACAGTCTCTGTTCCTTCTCTCAGGGAGCCTACACCTTCACTGGGAGAAGGTGATGAACAAATGTACATATGCATGCCAGGTGATGGCAAATCCTCTGAGGAAAAATGAACCCAGGAAAGGGAAACACAAAGTGAAAGGGCGAGGCCGGAGAGACGCTCTAGTACAAGAATGGTCCACAGGAGTCTCTCTGGCCAGGCATATCTGAGCAGAGACTTACAAGGAAGAGGGAGAGTGGGCCATGTGCCTATCTGGGGGAAACTGAGCACTCCAGGTAGAGGAAACGGCCTTTGTGTGGTGGTAGTACGTAAATAATATTGGCGGGGGGGGAGCTGAAGCAAACTATTCCAATCAGCTCCAAATCCAGGGTTTTGATTTCTAGCATTCTCATCTCCTACCCCCACCTCCATATTGGAGAAATTCTATTCCAGGCACATGTGGCCAAGAAATGTGAGGAAACTCTACTGTAGGCACAGCAGGCCAAGAATACTTGGCCAGTTTGTCCTTGCCTCGGCTTGCTCATAACGTAACTGCAGAGAGAGGGAAGCTCCAAACAGAGAAGAGCAGAGGCAACAGCCGCAGGCCGGGACCCCGCTCACAGAACAGAGGACAAGCTGCCGTCCCTGCCCCTGGCTCTGCAGCAGTGGCTCGCAGGTTCTGTATGGTCCAAGGCAGGCTGCAAGAACAGACACCCCTCAGCAATCCCTAAGTGGACTGACTTTAGTTGGAACAGAGAACAGGGAAGCTCGAGCCGCGTAGCACTATGGAAAACAATGGAGACTTTGGCGATGAGCAATTAAGATGAGGCTGCCAGTTCCATGATAGCAACAAGGAAAAGAGTAGACCGAACAGAAGTTTAACAGAATCAGGGAAAAGAGAAAAGAATAAGAGCCCTTCCAGAGTCAGGGCAGCTCAAAGACTGGCCTCAAATAACTCCTACAAAGGCCATCTAATTTAACTGAATCACACTGTGGGGCAATTTATGGCCCAGGGCTCTAATACAATAACGCAATCAGCTAGCTATCAGTGGAGAATAATTGCTGGGTGTGAACCAACAGAGGCTGACTTAGCAGTTTAACAAGGAGATCAGAGAAAGAAATGGTCAAACAGTCCTACTAAAACCATGCTGTCATCCCCTAAAGAGGGCACTTCAAGGGAACTCTGTTCCCAAGGCTGTGCCCACTGAGGAGCAACATCAAAGGATGCACACTGGTTGGGGCGGGGGGGGGGAGGGTGTGTAATGTGTGTGTAAAATGCACTGAAATAGGCCAACCAAGTCACTAACCAAATAGACAAGCAAGTAACACAAGAAGCCAGGGAAATGCGGAGGGGGGAATCAGCACTAAGAAATGCTATAAAAGACCTTAAATGTGCAGTTTAAACAAAAAATTATGAGACATGCAGATAAACGAAAGACCCAAACACAGGAGGAGAAAGCAGGAAAAAGAAATCGTCCTTGAGAGGGCCCAAATGTCAGACTCAGACAAGACAGCAAAGCAGCTATTATAAACATGTTCAAAGAACAAGAAAATATGCTTAAAAAATTAAAAGTCCAGGGACACCTGGGTGGCTCAGTCAGTGAAGCATCTGCTCAGTCATGATCCCAGAGTCCTGGGATCAAGCCCCGTATCAGGCTCCTTGCTCAGCAGCGAGCGAGCCTGCTTCTCCCTCTCCCTCTGTTCCCCCTGCTTGTGCGTTCTTTCTCTCCCTGACAAATAAGTATTTTTTAAAAATTAAAAAAGATTAACATTAAAAAAAAACAACAACAACACTAAAAGTCCAGGGGCTCCTGGCTGGCTCAGTCAGTACAGCATATGACTCTTGTTCTCAGAGTTGTGGGTTCAAGCCCCACGATGGGTGTAGAGATTACTTAAAAATAAAATCTTTAAAAAAAATTGTTTTAAGTCCAATGTTGCAATTTAACAAGATAAGATTACCTCCAAATTTGCCCATCCACAGCTGGTGAGAAGTCAGGACCATTCCATGCTGTTTTCTTTGACAATGTATTATGCAGTAATTTGGAAAAACAGTCCAGGGAATCTAGATTTGTGCCATTAAGGGGATGGGGAGCCATTGAAGGTTTCTATATAGGAAAATGACACCACGAAAACAAATGATCCTACTACTTCCAAGACATCAGAGCTGCAGGGAAATAGATGTATTTTAATAACTCAGGAGAATAATGTAATCTCATGTAGTAATCTCCCTGAAATTTAATTTCATGTATCTGTGTTTTGAATTTAAAAATAATGTAATAAAAAGACTTTTATCTGCAGGTGATGACTGTATAAGATGATGACTGTATAGAAAATCCCAAAGAATCCACTAAAAAAAAGAACAGTTCAGCAGAAGTTGCAGGATGGAAGACAAATATACAAAAAAATCAACTATATTTCTATACACTAGCAATAAAACAATTATATTTACAACACTATCAGAAATAATACTTAGGCAACCCTCTCCGGTCCCTCCTCCAAAGGAGCTTTGTACTATCACTTTGCTATTACTCAGTAAAGTGTTGCTTTGCTGCCCACCACTCTGTCTGGTCTACCGTTAAAAAAAAAAGAATACATAGGATGAGATAACAAGAAGTGTAAAATTTGTACTATGAAAACCATAAAACATTATTTAAAGGTATTAAAGATCTAAATAAGTAGAAAAACATCCCATTTATGGATTGTAAGACTTAATACCATTAAAAATGACAAAGTTCTCCAAATTGATGTACAGATTCAGCACAATCCTTACCAAAATCTCTACTGGTTTTTATACAGAATTTTGTAAGCTGATCCTGAAATTTACATGGAAATTCAAAGTAGCCAAGAACAGCCAAAACAATCTTGAAAAAGAACCAAGTTGGAGGGCTCATACATCTCAATTCCAAAACTTAATACAAAGTAATAGTAATCAAGACAGGGTAGTACTAGCAAAAGGTTGGGGAGGTGGGGGCCGGGAGAAGGGAAATTCTGAATAGTTGACACCACATCATTTGAACAAGCACCCAAAGCAGCAGGTGTTCATCAGGGAACCATCAACCACTAGTAGAGCAGGGTGGGGGTGAAGAGATGAGAGTAGGGCATTGAAGTCAAATTGCTGGTGAAGAAACTTCATTTGCATTTCAATGCACACCGCATCCCAGTGTTTTAGAAAATAACATTACGCTAAAAACAGCAGGAACTGGAGGGGAGGCAATCAGATAAGAGAAAGTGGAGAGACTCCTTTACTCCTAGGAGTAAGGTGGCTAAGGTGTGGGGCCCAAGCCAGCAGCTAGGATTTCCAGCTCCCGACTGCCCAGAGGGTGGCAGCAGCAGCTACTCCTCCAGTCCTCCCCAGCAGCCGAAATCTGTCTTAATACAGCGCAGTGGCTTCGGCATCCGAGTCCTGGAGAATAAAGGCACGAATCAGAGCAGCTGCAGTGAAAGAAGGTAAAACAGTCTGGGTGCCTTCAACCGAGACAGAAATGTAAGCAGTAGCTGGTCAGCAGTGGGACGGCTGGGGAAAGGAGATGAATACAAGTCTTGAAAATGAGTATGAGATGCCTGTGAGTCATCCATATATATAAGCTGCGAAGGGTAAGAGGGATCAGAGCTAGAAGCACACATTTTAGAGCCATAATCAGAGGAAGGATGAAAAGGTAGGAAATCTCCAAAATCAAGTTCAAGGACAGAAAACTTTGGAGGAAAACCAAAGCCCAGACTGAGCAGGAAAATCCCACTGGCAAGACCAATAATAGCAGAACCCCGAGAAGGCAGTGCTGCGAGGCCAAGGGTTGGGAGAGCCAAGGAGAAGTGTTCAGTAGCATCAAATGCAGCCTACATGTACCAGCCACATGCAATTACGACATTTCATTGTTCTAAAAGCCTTCTAAAAGACTCTACGCGCTTCTAAAACTGGGTAAAGTACAAACCTCTGGCCAACTGCATTTGCTGAAGGGGCTGTGGAAAATCTAGAGAACCAGTAAAGTCACGGTGCTCTATTATGTTGCCTCATCTTACAGTGAGCATCACCTTTCAGAAAGCAAACCTGAACAATTGAATCTGTTCATCATTTCCTTCATGACTTCCAGGTTTCCAGTCCATGTTGAGAAGGCCTCATCCATACCAGGGTTAAACTAATGGGCTCCAATATTTTTTCTAGTATTTGCATAATTTTTACATCTAGAACTTTAATCAATATGGAGTTTATTTTTCTATACTGTGTAAGGAAGAAAGCTAACTTTTGCTTTCGGATGTACTACCTGAACTGCTTATTAAATAAACCACCCTTTTCTCAATTAACCACAATGTCATCTTCAATAGTAAGTCCTCGTTCACAACTGGATCTGTTTCTAGACATGATTCTATTCCTTGGA